GGTTTGGTAATCTCCTATGAAACCCAAAACTGACGGAGAGTGAGCGCCGAAACCAAAGGAGTCAGGGCTCTAAGCCAATGAGGATCTTGTTCTTAGCGAAGTGCCCCAAAAGCCCTACGGCCTGAAAGCCTGCATCCCTAAACCCTACTGTAAAGCGTAGACTGCTCTCATGTGTGTATATATATATGATATTGATATATATATATATATATCGAAGGGAAACTCAGCAGTTCCACCCGGAACACAACCTCGTGCAGCGAAACCCCCCAGACCAAGAAGCCAAGAAGCAGCGAGTAGGGGAAGACCTTCATCAGCTGAATCAAGGACTGCCTGTAGTCCTCATCTACCTCCCGGGCAGTCTCAGCTAAGGGTAAAGTTTGGGACCGCGGAACCTGCTCATCAACACAGAACCAGTGGTGTCTACCCATAGGCCCCTAAGTAGTTCCTTTTTGGGATTACCTTATAACATTCTAAGTACGAACCACAAAAAGGAACTACTTAGGGGCCTATGGGTAGGACCAGGCCGAGAGAGATTATTCATGACAACGTACGCCGGATGTAGGCTTGCTGTGATTGACCAGCTGCTCAGGACTCGGGGCTCGCACTGCGCTCTGAGGCTAGGAGCCCAAGCTAAGCCTGCACTGTAGTCGTGGTAGTACTAGTAGTGAGGGTGGCAGTGATAGTCGTAGATAGTACCGGATAGTAGTGGATAGCAGTCGAAGAAACAAGTGAAAGCTATAGGTCGCAGTGGGTTTAGCAGGTTTTGGGCTTTGCCAAGCAGTACAGCTAGAGCAGGCTCAGCAGCACTAGCACGATTAGTAGTAGTAGAACCTATTGTTGTAATAGTAGGACGGGGAGGCTGTCACTGGAGTGGTAAAAAGAAATAGCCGACAAAGGAACAAATCTTGGCCCTGGCCACTCAGTAGCAGTACTGGAAAGGGGAAAACGGAATAGCATTGACAGCCAGTATCGCAGCACTCGCAACACTAGTCCGAAGGGCTTCACCAAAATAAGCCCAATGTCAAAAACCGACTACACACGATCCTTACTAAGGCAATGCATTGCCAATCATTCGGTTTGTCAGCTTCTGAGAGCCCCCGCATGGATCGGTGGTACATCATCTTCGGGACCCGTCCGCAAGAGCTGTCCCGTCCAGCGGATAAGCGGCGCCAGCAAGTTCAGCGCGTGGCTCGGAGTCCTTATAATTAGAGAGGATATGAAGCCGAAACACCCTGATGCCAGCTAGGGTTTCAAGGCTTAGTTCACGAAGACAGAACTGTCACAGACTGGAAAAATGCGAGCTTGGGCCAGTGGAAAGCAACAAGGCCGAGCAAGCAGAGTGAGGCACGGGGTTTTGCGGATCTGGGTCTGACCGTTGACCGTCCGCTATGCTTAAGATTTATACGGCTTAAGTTGAAGTGATCATTGAATTTGTAGTGCCCACGGCGTTCGGATAAAGATTCGATCGGAGATCAGAAACTAGAGATCAGCATAATAGGGAATTCAATAGAGGGAAAGAAAGTCCTAGACCCCGGCCCGCAGCCACAGGAAATCTCTTAATGTCTGCCGGGAAGTCTGCGACGTCGGCAGGTTGGCAGGAGTTGCCCCAAACGTGCTGCTCACTTCCTGGCGACGGACGGCACTTAAATCTCGTGGCCTTGATCATAGGATTAGGCTTTGGGGGCCAACTATACTGCTACACAAAGCTCCATCGTGAGAACTTACGGTTTATCGCATACAGGCTGCTCGATTTAAGGGTATATACCGTGTGGGGTCTCCTGGGCAGCTGCAACCGCCGCCCTCATCTCATCATCCTCGAAACCTTTGGTGGGCTCAGGGGCTGTTGCTGTTTTTTGCTGAGTTCAAGCGCCCCAGAGGTTATCATTTCAGCTGAAAGTGGCATGATCGAAATAGACAGTTGACTAACGAAGCAACTAGATCAAACAGCCTTAGCTTAGGGGGGATTTTCCGACCTCGCTTCTGTCGCTTCGGCGAGCCTCTGGATGAGATCTTGTAGCCGGGACCTACTGCATCATCATCGTTGTCATAACGGTACAACGATAACACCTGCTGCTGCTACTACTTCTGCCGCTGCTATAGAGCCCCGGCCATTGCTTCTGCTACTGCACCTGCCGCCCGTTACGAGGAAGGGCCTTGACAGAAAGCACAGTATGCTTGTAGTGTGCTACAGAACCCCAAGCCGCCATCATTGAGGCCCCTGTGTTAGGCTAGCAGTATTCTGGGCGTAGTCGGCTCGTCTCCTAATTACTCCTAATGATATGTACGGACTTCCCCGGTACAGCATCTCTAGAGCTCACGTTCTCCATGCCGGTGACTCCTACGGTCCAGTGCTTCGAGGACTTATGTTGCAACTCTACCGGAAGCACCGCTTCGACGGATTGAGGCTCGCTCGCATCTAGCAAAACCTCGTCAAGGGCATGGTTTTGACATAGGGTTCGGGAGGGGAAATCGTCCCGCCAGGACCTGGCGAGCAACTTCCAAATGACCAACGCCGACCTAGCATCAGTGTACCTGGGTCTAGTTCCAACTGAACCCCAACTCACAAGCCTCAAAGCCGCCGAAAGTCTCAGGTCTTCAAGAGTTTAGGCGAAATCCTAAACCTGCGAAACCTAAACGCGATGCCTTTACTATACGGGTTCATATCAAGGTCATTTCTACGATACACATGATTGGAAGAGAGAGGGGGCAACAAACCCTAAACCCTAAAGCCCTATAAGTCCTAAACCCACTTTGGCGAGCCGAGGAGCGCCCCCGCCCTGCCCTGAACTGAAGTGGGCCCGGGCCGAGGAGCGCGGATTGGAAAGGCATCGTGTCGCGATGGCACTCGCAGGAGTTGTGTTTAGGGGGTCATAGTTCAAAACCAGTCTTTTTTTTGGAGCCCAGAGAGAAACCCTAAACCCTATACTTCAGGCTTCGGCTTGAGTATTTCTTAGAATGCGGGATTTAGGGCTTCTTGTTGACACCTCTCTTCCGTCCGCAAGTTGCCCTACGTCCCGAGTGCCAATTTGGCTGAGCATTCAGGGTTTATAAGGTTCAGGATCAAGTTTCAAGGTTTTGGCGGGCCATTTGGAGGTTTCGCTTGGCTGAGCTGGCTTGGCTGGAAAGATCTGGCGGTGAAGCCGGAGGACATCCTGCAGCGCATACAGTGCGCTACCCCGAAGACTGCGAGCTAGAATCGCTAGAAGGACGTGGGTCTTGCTCGGACTGGTCGGAAATTCCTCCGCATGGTGCCCCTAGAGTCAACCATGCAGTCCCCACAAAACCAGCCCGAAAGACCACTGAGGGGTTTGGGGGGATTCGAAAATCAGAGTCAGTGGCAAAGAATACATTTTGCGGGGCGCATGTGCCGGCTGAATCTGGGTGCCCGGAAAAACTTGCGGCGTTGCGCGATTCGGAGACGAACAAAGAAAGGCTTTCAGCCAGTGCTACCGCGATGATCACGACTCATTACATAGAATGAGAAGAGTGCAATGGGGGATGATGCTGCTGTGCTGTTCGGCGATCTGCCTACCGCTGTAGTTGCTACTGACAGCACTGCCACTGCCACAGACATCACCACCAGCGGCCAGCTGCAACTACTCCACACGCTACTGCTTCTACTACAGATACTACTGCTGCTGCCGCTGCCACCACCACCACCACCACCACAACCACCACCACCACCACCACAACGACTTCTGCAACTGCCACTACTGCTGCTACTACTCCGTTCCTACTGCTGCTGCTGCTGCTGCTGCTGCTGCTGCTGCTGCTGCTCCTACTCCTACTCCTACTCCGACTCCTACTCCTACTCCCACTCCTATTCCTACTCTTACTCCTACTCCTACAACACCAACTACTGCTACAACCACCACCACCACCACCACGACGACGACGACGACTACTACTACTACTACTACTACTACGATAAAATACTGCCATGCTTTGATCTGGTGTTGCTTGTCTTTCCGGGCGTGAAACTCTCCGCCTGTTTAGGCGGGGTCAAAGACATTTGCACAGCATTGTCGCTTCAAACATCCGGGTCGAAGGCCCAAGATACCCTTCAATGAATCGAGTACCAACCTGTGCTTCCTGGAATTTCGAGCCTAGCATGTCCAGTCTGCCATTGGAGTCGAGTTTAAAGGCCTGGGTGCAGGCACCAGACGAGGATGCCCCCCCCCCTCCTAAGAAGAAGCCCCCTCCGAAGAAGAAGTCTCGATTTTCCAGCTCGTCATTTCACCTCGTGACTATCAGCAACGTCTGTTGTGATTATGATTGTGCGATGCGAAGGCTGAAGACTTCCTGCGAGTCCGCTCGGCAGCTGAATGGGCTTCAACGGCAGCCCTGAGGTTGAAAGGTTGAGGAGATTTACCTAAGTCCCTGCATTGCAGGCCTATCTAATCCGGTCACACTTACATGACTGGGACATGAGGCCTTCCGGCAAGTCGTCGATGAATATTCCTGACCGACCTTACGCCCTGAAGCCTCCTACGACTCCTATGATCTCCATACGCCATATTTTGCTTCGGAGCGCAAAGAGTTTCAGCAACTAAGGAGACCGAGTTTAAACCCAATTACTGTTGTGGTGCTTGAAAAGGGCGTCAGGCGACGTCGGAAGCGGAAGCAGCCGGTCCTGAGCTGTCAAAGCTTCGATGGCCTGCTTTCGGTTTCGATCCCAAAGGCTCATTGACGGTAACGGTTCAGGTTTTATGGTAGCTTGAGGGTTTTGACTAGCATCGTATTCTTAGGGTAGCCATGGTCATGGTTTCTGTTGTGTATTTACCCATGGAGCTTGCTTATCGTCTTCGACTGCTCCGAGTGCATGTCGGTTTGTTGATGATGCTTCCTTTCCTCTGGCCAATAGATCGAGCCCGATGGAACTGTGGTGGCAACTGGCAGTGTGAGAGCCTGGCTGAGCGATGGAAGTCTCGAATCCGCTGTTGGCTTGCGTCTGTTTGTCTCTGGCAGCCATGCAAAAGAAAAGGTGCACGGTTCTTGGGTCAGGTAGAGAAAACAGAGATGGAGTCAGAAGTGCTCTGTTCATCGACAACGACCTCAAGCGTCGCTTCTTGGAAGAGAGGCTCGGGTTTGTCTGGTACAGCACCGGCAAACTGTACATGCCCAGCGGGTCCATCCGAAAATCGCAGGAGCAAAATGTGCAACCCTGTCCATGTGAGGAAGGGTATCAGGGGAATCAGGCTATCATCGGCCGTGTGAATCATCGACAGCTGAAAGCTAAACCATTCAACGGACAGGGGAAGGCAAGCAGGCACCCACAAGACGACCGCATAAAACCAACGGTTCTGCTGCTTCACCCGTGATCCAGCGTAGTGAAGAACATACAGGCCTACCTGCACCCAAGAGAATGTAAGCACGCAGGCCATGCCATAGTCCATACACACACGCAGTCTCCACACAAGCGATGAATATCCCGCCAAAGCTTGCGGAGGTCCTACTGCCAGGACCGCTATGGTTCGAGAAAGCGACGGCACAGCGGAGACGCAAACCATGGCCTGGAGTATATTTGGAGCGCTTTCTAAAATCGAGCGAGTGTCGGGCTCAGGCATACCAGCAAAACCATGAACATCTCACCTGAAGCCTAACCTCCCCGTATGTCTAACCGGGGCCCAAGAGGCAACCTAAACCCTAAACCCTAAAACCCTAAACCCTAAAACCCTAAACCCTAAAACCCTAAACCCTAAAACCCTAAAACCCTAAAGGCCAAGAGGCAAGAATGTACCGAAGCGGCAGCCAACCTCGCCCCAAGCTCCGCATGACGGTGGGCGCCAGGCCCTCCTTCACCTGGGACTGTCCGAATATTAGGGGTACCTTAGGGTTTAGGGTTTAGAGGGTTAGAGGGTTTAGGGTTTAGAGGGTTTAGGGTTTAGGGTTTAGAGGGTTTAGGGTATCTTGGGGTTTAGGGTTTAGGGTTTAGAGGGTTTAGGGTTTAGGGTGCCCTATTTTGGGGTCCTTAAAATAGGGATCCTACTATTTAGGGTACTATAATTAGGGTCCCCTATTTTCGGAAACCTTCACCTGTCGGTCGAAGAGTTGCAGATGTTCGTCGGCCTTCGGAAACCCGAGAAAAGAAGCAAATTATGAAGATGGTGGCTGAATTATCGCAGTACAGTAGGGTTTGGGGGTAAATTTTGCTATTACTGTACCTAAACAAAAGAAGCCCCTGCTAGTTAGTTAGGCCCCTTCATTTGAAACATGCAAACTTTAAAATGTAATTCCCTAACAGAAATTCGCTTTGCATTTTGAGGTCCCTAACGGCCTTCCCATGAGGATTCCCATACCATCGCTTCAGCATGCCGAAGATCAATTCACGGTCGCAAGGTATGGCTTCCCCAGTCTGTGGATGCTTGTGGTCATTGGAGCAGCAGAAGCACTGCGCGCTCTGGACGCTGAAATTAGCCAGCTGTTGTGGCAGCTCCTGTAGCTCCTGCATCACACCCAGAGCTATGTAGAAGACCCCCGGAACCGTCAGGGCCAATATAGGTGCGAAGGTCAGGAAGAGTGTCCACAGATTGCCCAGGTCGATGTCTGCGACATCACGTGCCATGATGCTTGAGGCTTGCACATACCAATACATGATGATGTGCTCACTCAGGCCGAAAAGGAAAAGGATCAAAGCGATCTTTACAGGCATCACCAGAATCGGCTTCTGTTTTTTTGCGTCCCGGAGGAATGTGGCTACCTCATAGGTACACCAGATTCTCGAAAAGTATCTATGAGACCAAAGAATGGTGAGCTGTCGGGATCTGTCTAGAAAGCCTGCCAGGCCCAGAATCCCTTTCTGCTTCAGCTCTTCGTCATGCTGTGCGATGCAAAGTCGATCCAGGAAGATAGTTGCAGGCTTCAGAAATATGCCTCGCAAACGCTGCCAGAACAGAAGCACTATCCAGAAGGATGCGTGCAAAAGAAGAAGCCTCGCTTGCTCAAAGATCAGGTGCTTGAGTTCTTGACTGAAGCTGGTGGTTTGCGCGGCTTACAAAGTTCGATGCCTATTTCAGCGATCCCTTGGAACATGTTGCAACAAGCGCATTCAAGAAGCGTCCACCAATCCACGGGCAGCACGCCGCTTGCTTGCAGCACGCCACATAAAACACTCGCCAGCAAACAAAAGCCAGCAGCGGCGCTACTGTTATAGATGATCCTTTGCTGCTCGGAGGATCTGGCTAGGCTGGTTCTCACGGGAGTTTACCACCCCTCTTCACTGCAGCGTTCAGGGACTGTGCATTTTTGGTTGATGCTGGGGATCTCTTGTCTTCCAACCACCAGCTTCAAGCACACCCACATTTGCATACATATGTATGTATGTATGTATGTATGTATGTATGTATGTATGTATGTATATATATATACATATATATATACATACATATATATATACATATATATATATACACATATTACACTCTCTCCGTAAAACTTTCTAGTGCGTCAGCCGCAGCGACAGAGATGACCGCCATAATTTTAATAATAACCCTATTGATAAACAAAAAACTTGAAAGAAGAAGAGTGCAGAAGAACACTCCCAAGGATCAACATGGACACCAGCTTCAGCAGCCTTGGGGTCGCCCAGTCGTGGCTCAGGAACTCGTCGTAGGAGTCGGTGGCTCGGCTGAGAGCGTAGTCCCCGTGATCCACGTTGAACCTTCTCTTCCGTATTCCCGTTTGATATCCTACGATTCTTGATCTCAGTTCGTTGACTTTATATTATGTGTTATTCGTAGACCTAAGTTGAGCTGGCGGTTGTGGGCTCCTTACAGTTAGGGCATGGAGAGTTTCCGGGTATTGAAAGGGTTTTAATTTTTGAATTGAAGGAAGAATAGAGAGCGGGTTGATGGACAGGGAGAAGCGGGCCTGCGATGTATTCGGGGTTAGGATCGACGGCTGATTCTGAGGGAGCTGTTAGGGAGTTTGGATGGACGCGTGCTCCAGGCACTACAGCCAAAAATCTCTGCTGTGTCAAAAACACCGACAACGATGACAAAGCGAGCGGCCTTTCTGTAGGCTGAGCCGCAAGGGGGGGGAAGTGGGAAGGAACCTGGGCCTCATCGTGTTTGGACCTTTCCTTTGCCCCATTCTGCCACCGGAAACCAACCCTTTCATGTAGGGGCCTTAATAATTAGAATAGGGCTTTGGGGCATATTATACTATAGTTATAATAAGGAACCCCCAAAATAGCATTGGTAACTATTTAGGGCCCCTGTATTACCCTACAAATCCGGAACCCTAAAAAAGGGCCGAGGAACATCCCAGGGTCCGGCGGCACGAAATGCTTGGCCCAGCCGCTGAGGCAAACAGGCAAAGGAACCCCTCTCCTGGTTCGCGCTTCAAGTTATTAAGGCTTAGACGCGTCTTATTTATGATGTCTTAGGGTTTTGAAATGACCCAGGAACCCCCAAAAAGAACGACAAAACACACAACATGTTTCTGATAGGGTTTGGGGTTTAGGGTGTTCCAGAGCCCAGTCTCAGCAACTCGGGATCCAGCTCTGTTTGTAACTCGCGGGTTCCCTGAGGGGTTGCCGCCATGTCAGCGCAGACTTGTTGCAAACTGCGCAAGAGACCCCCCCCCCCTCGCCCGTGACTCGAGCCGATGCCTGTTGAAACTGCTGTCCAGCATCCGGCTGAATAGGGATTACGGTAATAAAGGTTAAGGTTTGGCCTTAAAAGCCAAGTTGCATGTTGGGGCCCCTTTCCTACTAGGGCTGAGGCGGCCGAAACCTGCGCGAAGACCAGCGGCTGGAAAGTAGGCATGGTGCACCTGACCTGAACCTCATGGAGCCTTCTCTCAAACACCCCCTGAACCCGGAGAGCGGCTCTTGTCGCACCATCGCTGCACCTAGAAGACAAACACCGTCTGCCCTGTTCAGAGGTAGCGACCGACGACTTCTGACCTTAAGGCAAATACGAAAAAAGAGAGCCTAGTAGCCAGCAACATATATGTAGAAGAGGCTTAAATCCTTGTCGCAGCAAGCTGCTGGAACTCTCCTCATACAACTGCACCATCGCCACTGCATGCCGCCTTTTGCGCGTGCCTCTACCACCACTTGTCTCATTCTTTCTCGTGGAAGTCCTCATAGAAGCCCGGTGTACAGCCAGAACAGCTGTGTAACCAACGCTGCTTGCGAAAGCCGGAATGAATATAATACTACTAATCAGTTCTACTACTAACAAGAACAATGACCAGAAGAATAACAGCAATCAGAATTCAGCAACACTGTTCATACAGCATTCAGAAGAGATGTTAAGCTATTGGGTCCTGCAGTGCTGTTCAGCTTATTGGGACCCTATACGCCCCTGCTCTGACCATGAAGAGCCTCTGCATCGATGCATGTATTCTTGCTGCTGTCATGCTCTAACGTCCTACTTGTGCTGTTAGCATTTGTATGCCTATATCTATTATAAACTATCTTCTTACCATTATCATCAGGTTGTCACCATAATCAGCATTAACGTTATTGCTTTTTGATACCAGGGTCATTACTGCTATGATCAGCATGGTCCTGATTGCTAGTCGCTAGTCCTAATGCTGGCTAGTGCTAACTACGAGTACTAGCAGTTGTCGTCGTCGTCGT